GTCCAGGTCATACAGACCAGCAGAAGCGTGTGAGTCACAAATCAAACAAAGCAACCAGGTTTCTGTCTATGTGAACGTGAAGGTTCCATATTGTTTGCTTCTGGGATTGTAGCAAGGCTCGTCACTGTAAAAAAGCCAGACAATGGTCAGGTGAGTGAATGGTAGCACACACGCTCACACACACACACACACACACATGCACACCAGTCCTTTGTCCGATGCCATGCTGTGACCGAGTTTCCTTCACCCACATATTCTTGTCAGACTGTGAATGTGTGGGCGGAGTGCACTTAACTGTATAACAGCATATGAGCAGGACAACTTTAAGAACCTGAGCAGCTGTGTGTGTATGAGTGAGATAGTAACAACAATGCAGGGACAGTGTGTTGAAGCCACACTCTCAGACCTGCTCTGCGCTTACAGCGATAGCTGGCGCTAATTAAAGCTGTGCTTCTGGTAATTGCCAACAGCCAAAACTTAATTTTAGGTGGTTTGCTGGGGAAAATCTGTATATTCTACACAAACCTCCTCTGCAACCTATAATTTAGCAATCCTAAAAGAAACTGAATATAAAAAAAACTGCACAATGTTCCTTTATTTAGATGAGCTGCTGGTTTATTTTTTTGAAAGACAAGGGACTGTAAATCATGAGTCATAAACGCGCTACAAACATGGTTCGATTTTTTGTTTTCCCATAAGATCAGTGGTGTTTTTTTCCCGGTCGCTGCTGATATTCATGCTCCCAGAAAGACACAATATGTACACCTCTCACTCATAAAACAGCACAAAACCAAGAGGCAGAGAAAAAAAAGACTACCCTAGTTGCTATTATGTAAACAGCAACATGCCCGGCTTCAATTATAATGACTTTAATTCTTTGTTGCTGTTGATTTAACGTTGAGCACAACAATTTTCATGCTGCCCATAATGACTTAATGGCAACAGCCATTACTGAAAGTAATTTAATGGTGGATGACTCAGATGAGCTCTCCTCTAAAATATTTACAGCATTCCCAAGCTTTCAAGAGTCACACTCATCGCTAACCCCTTCTCAGATAAAAGAGGATTTATGGAGAGCAGTGACACTAGTTGTCACCAGAAAACAAATACTAAAAAACTTAAGTGGGGATGAAAGCCGGTCCCACTCATAATTGTGATCTTCACAATCATTATGGCGGATACATGCGCAGGTGCAGGACTTTTAGTGTGTATGCTTGTGCATATGTGTGTGTACTGATCCTCGCCTCTGCAGCCCCTGCCGAAATGAGATCTCTCCAGTGTTCCTGCGTGATTTTATTGTTTTCATGGTCTGTATTATAAGCACCCACCCACTACCTCCTCCCTTAGAGCAGCTGGATAAAATACACTTGATGGTCTGCCAAGAAGTGTGCTTTTTTTCTTCTCTACGCTTGAGTTGCAGGGTTTTATCTTTCTCCAATAACCAGTCCTGTCCATGTACAATGATCTCCCGCAGTCTCAGCGGGACACAAACACAGAGAGGAGACACAGGGCAGCAATTGCCCATGTCAGGGAACAGGAGAGCTGCCACTTCTGCTCTAGTTTCATTGACTTGGATGGTTTGCATGTTACTGGCTCTGCATCCCCCTCTGCCGGTGGCTTTACAGTAGTCATGTCAACGTCTGCTGCTTCCCGCCAGCCACAAAGGATGTGTACTGTTAATATGTGCTAATTTATTTTTAACAAAACACAGATTAGCAGTAAAAGACTGCAATATCGATTCCACAGAGATTAAACAGAAACCTTGCATCAAGCAGTGCCCAGTTTAATTAAGTCAATGCTGTGCCGGCAGAGAAAGATGTGACCACACATTTACTGTAACTGGAGGAAATGAAAGAATTAACTTCAATCAAGGAGTTAAATCCTTTAAAGAAGTCAGAAAAAGGACAGACACATGATGACAACTAGGAAGGTAGGGAAAGTCACATGACAACACAGAGTCATGTTATGTCATGTGAAAACAGCACTACAGAGGATCTTAATGGTTACTTGGCCTGCTAGTATTCACGCCTTTCCACATCTACAAAGAGGTGGGAATTAACAGAACTGGCGATGTAATATTAGTAGAAAAACTGGAGTGCACTCAAATTTATTTGTTAGTTGTTAGTAGTGTTATGGTTCATACAATGGTCTTAAATAATGTGATATGTCTTTTCAGTTGCCATGTCTTCTTTGGTTATTCAACTGCTAAAAGTCCAAAGCTTTCAAACTCATTTCTGTTTTCCAGATCTTTATTGACAGGGAGACAATATATGACTTGTCAGCTGTTGCCTTTATGTGAATACAAATATTGATACTTGATATCAATATAATGATACAACACTGTGAAGTATTACAATAATAGTTTGCACTGATTTGTCTGGTTTATTGACATCTTAAGACCACTGGCACCCTCTACTGACTATTAATAGTAATGACCTGAGTCAGTTACAAACATTTTACTACTGAGTTATTTACAAATACAATGGCTTAAATTCATTTCCATTAATTAATTATTTTATGAATCTACTAATTTCCATATGCAATATGGTAGATTGATTCTAATATACAATACTATTTAGCAGAATTAATGTTAATTTTTTGTTATCAGAATAATTTGGCGGGGCAGCAGGTAGCAATGATTTTCTTTAACTATTTTGTCCGACCAACAGTCCAATACCACAAGAAAGTCAGTTTACTATAATAGAGAAGAAAGATAACCAAATAATAATTATTATTATTAATAACCAAATATTCAGGTCTGAGAGGCTGAAATCAACCAGGGAACTTTGCTTAAAAACTGGTCAAAAACTGTTTTTCTATTGGTCAAGTTTATTGATAAATCGATTATTTGTGCTCTGCCCTCTGGTTTACTCAGCTCCTCTCAATCAGGCAGATTGATGAAGTGAAAATGTTTGCGTTTCATTAAGTTGTAGCCTAGATGAGAAGCTGCACAATAAAAGCTTACTGTAGCACTGTATATCTCTAATGGTAAGCTTGTAGAACACTTACAGAGTAACTGTGGTTGTGTTCTTTCCAAATGTTGACATGGGAGTAAATCAAAGTCAAGAGCTGGTAAGCACCAGCTCTCATCAGTTCTCATTTGTAGCATATTATTAAGTCCTGGACAAGAAGGAAAACAGTGCCAGACAGGTCAAGCTGCAAGAATTACACTTGTAAGTTTGAGGGGACATCTTAGCAAGTGTTCTGAAATTGTTTGACCCAGTTATAATCACTGACCCAGTCCTAGTTCCCCAAAACAGGACAACATGTCTGCTGGCATCTTGCTGTTCACTTACCACAGAAATTCTTAGAAATATCAGAAATATCTGTCAGGACCCAGAAATCTACAAAATCACTTAGGAATCTCAATGGCTCCTTTAAACAGCCCTTCTACAGAAAGGAAGATGTATAATTATAATTCTCTGAGGTCAGTTTTGTGCTTCTTACTTGTGGTTTAGGCTCACAGTGAGGAAGAGAGGAAGCACATACTAGAGCAGACAGGGTTCCTTATTCCTTATTTCCCTACGGGGATCAATAAAGGATAATTTATATAAACAAATATGGTTAGACTAATAACTCAGGCCAATATCAGGCTCCAATTTGATCAAAAATGTGAATGCCGGCCATTTAAAGACATTCATCTTCAAAGTAATAAATGATCCTCACTGACAACAGGCAGTTTTTCTAAAATATTATCTAGATGTCTGACCTGAGAATTTATTCCATTGTGGACAAGTTGGGTTGCCATCAACAGGTTTGGGTCTGTCAGTCTCTACAAGCCTGCAGTTTCTACGTTTAGAGCACTGTCTCTTGGTCAAAGAGGCATTTCCAATCTCCAAGAAGTCCACTTGATGAGAAACAGAGAGAGCCTGTGCTATTTTTATATAAAGGTATATAAAGTATATTTTAAAAAACATTCTATTTGAATATCCACTCTGAAACATGATTAATCAGTAGATTAAACCAAAACTATCTGCACTAGTATCAGCCTTTAAAAAACAATATCAGTCAAAGTCTATAAAAAATGCACGACAGCAGCTCTAGCAAGGAGCACCAAGTTCTGTCATGAACCCAATGACACCACAACCTGCAGTAGCAGCCATGCTCACTAGATGGGGACATCCCACTTTAAACCATTCTGAAAAACTGATCTGGGCCACTGAGGGAGAGCAGAAAAAAAACTCTCAAATTACATTTGGAGCACCAGAGTTTGGCTTTTAAAAACAGCAGAATGGAGGACACGCACTTCAAAGTTTCCAGTTCATCTCCACTGGGCAAGGGTACACAAGTGCAACAGTGGACTCCCTGATGACAGATGGACTCAGAGCAGTGAAGACAAGCAGATGTTTTGGGACTGTGATCTGATCAGCAGTAGAGACCCAACACCTCTCCACGCTAAAAACAGAGCAATAACAGTCAGAGCTGGGGGAAAAACAGAAAGAAAGAGGAATGAAGAAGGAAAGGGGGGACTGTAAGCAGCGGAGAGACATAAGAAGGAGAACGAGTAAGGAGTAGGAGCATAAGAGAAAGTGAGAGTTAGCGACACAGTGGGGAGTAGAAGAGCGGGGAGAAAGGAAAGTAAAAGAACTCAGAGAGGGGGAGGGAGAGTGTTTTTATCCTCATGTGCACTCAGTCAGAGGGGTCAGTGAGTGCGATTGTTCCTGGACTGCCTGTCAAAACAGTGCGGCTACCACAGTGCCTATTCATCTCCGCCCCACTCTGAAATGCACGCGCGCACAAACCCATAGTAACACACTCACGTATGCATGAGCAAATGCATAAGAAGCCTCCAAAAGCTTTCAATAATGCTCTTATTAAAGCCTTAGCAACAACCCAACAACAGCATCAACACAGCCTTTTGAGACCTGCGTCACTGCACCACCATCTTCCACTGTGTTTGAGTTTCAGCTCTGTCATAAACATGCACAGGCAAGTGAATAACTGCAGTGTGAAAGTGACGGGCAACTTGTCGTGGAGAGTCAGGGAAAACATTTTCTTACCAGGTAAAGGAGGAACGTGTGCAGGCCAGTGCCAAGACCCACCGAGGACAGGATACCCAGGCCAACCCAGTAGGCACACCACAGCGTCTTCTTCTCCATGTAGCGCACATACTGCAGAGGCCAGAGAGAGGGACGGTCAACCACATGGCAGAGACACATGCAAAGAGTGTGAGGAAAACAAGTGGTGGTGGTGGTGGTGGTGGTAGGGGGGGGGTTGGTGCACAGAGAGAGAGGAGGGGAGGGACAGAGACAGAGTGAAAGAAGGTACGAGAGTGAAAGTGTGCAAAACAGAGGGCACTTAAAAGGGTGGGAGAGGGCAAGTGAGTGGTAGAGAAAGAGAGTGAGAGGAAGAGAGTGAGAGAGAGACCTTTAGAGACAGAGGTTGTTGTTGAGTTTAGAGGACAGAGCCGTAGGGTAGGAGTGTTCAGCACACAGACAGAAGAACAGCACCATTATTCTTTTTGGTGGCAACCAGCTCTTACACAACTAGTGAAGTAAGGCAAGCCAAGATCTCTCTATCTCTCTCTATGTTCCTCTTCCTCCTGTTCATCCACCACTATCACTCCATCTATCACTCTGTTCACACCTCCTCCCTCGAGCCAAGGCAGGTTGTTTTTAGAAGGAAGTATGGAGTGTGTAGATTACGGGAAGAAGGGAGGGGACTGACGGGTGGAGTGGATTGGGGAGTGGGCTCTGACCGAAAACTCAATTTCCCAGGAAACCGAGCAAAACAAAAACACCACATACTGCCTCTCTTTGATGGCAGAATGCTGGGAAGTGCAGTGCCAGCCATGGGCAATTGTTACGTGTATTTACTGAGAACTCTTTACACACTTCCTGAGTCTCTGTGGATAACATAAAAAAAAAAAAAAAACGTTTTATGGCAGTTGGTTTCAAAATACTACAGCTCATAGAAATAAATCAGAAAAAGGGGAAAAAGGAAAGGGGAAGGGTTTCAGTCAGATATATAGCATAGTCTAATGTGGTTTACATTCGCAGCTCCGGTAGTTTGCCCTGTGCACATAAGAGATTGGCAGGTAAAACTGAGCTTTGTGGGAAGTTAATAATTAAACCAACGTGATGTGGGCACACTCACACAAGCACACAGTTGTTCAAGATGATCTTCATTTATGTATCCTCATAGGCATTGTGTTTCTACAGTACAAATCCCAATCTCTGTGTCGATGACTATGATCAGACTTAATAAATACTCATCACTATGTGGGACCAAAATAAATAGTAAATGGACAGAATTAAATATAACTTTTCAACCTTAATAGGAGAAAGCATTGGCGCTTCTTGAGTGTCATGTTAAAGAACACGTCAAACAGTGGACAGGTGGACCGTGTATAGACACTCACTCTACCCCCTGAACCATACCCCAAATAACTGTCACCCCAAATATACAATATGTATTACATTTAGCGTTATGGTTTCAAAGTAGGAAACCGTAACCTGCACTCTGTGAATATAAGACAAGCAACCACCACAAACATGAAACATGTACTGAATTATACCTTTCCTTAAAAGGAAGGCTTTATGATGTATTTCAGCCTAACATGGTGGAAGAACTGAGCTCAGGTGCTGAACCTGACAGCACCTAAAGCATGGTTATAATCCATGTATCATGGAGAAAATATAAATATTTAAAGTATTCAGTCACCTCCTGGTGTGTTCCTTCAATACAGTAGGCAATGGAGAGGAGGATAAGCAGGATCAGCAGGCCAAACACAGTCTGTCTTTGCTGCCAGAGCCTGGGTGAAGAAGAGGAACAGAATGAAGGTGGAAAATCATGAATGCAAGTGTGTGTGTGTGTGTGTGTGGGGGGGGACGTGAATGATATTCAAGATGGGGAGAATAATGGTGTGTAGAGAGGACAAAGTGTCAGAGGTCAGATGAAAAAAGATGAGGAATCATTACAAGCATGAGTGGAGCAGTATTAGTGTAGGAAGGAAGGGATGCAATAATTTAGTGGAGAGAGGACATCATTTTCATTTAAACTTTTGGGGGAGAGAGACATCTGCTGGCAACTATTCAACCAGCAGGACCGGCATGTTCTCAACAGGATAATAGTCATGTGGGTAATACCCTGCATAAACTGTATATATAACCCTTTGGTACAGTACTGAACATGCTAAACCTGGCCTTAAGAGTGCATTTAGCAGTTTACACAGTAGGGTGGCCATGTGTACATAAATAAATACATTAAAAACACCACTTAATCACTGATGGTTGAGAGTGGGGTATGACCATGTGTGCAGACAGATTACATACAGATATTAAGAGATAATGTATTATATATTATTGTACCGTCTCTAGTAGTGGTCGACTACATTTACATTGTACTGTAATTTTACTAATCTGTAACTTTGAGGTATGAGTTTCCATTTTCTGCCAGCGTTACTTTCACTCCACTACATTTCATAGGAAAATTCTGTACTTTTTACTTGACTACATTAATTGACTGCTACTGTTACTAGTTCTTTTACAAATTAAGATTTGACATTAAAAAAACATATAACCTCAGAAAATACAATGCCTTCTTTAAAGTCTAAAATGTAGACTACCCCAAGGTTACCATTTCTGAACTAATGTTAACGGTTACATTACGTTTTCAGTATAAACTATTAAAATATTAAAGTATAATAGTAGCTCGTGTTAGAATGTTTTATGACTCGCAGGGGGCATTTAACTTTGATACTTCAACTACATGTTGCTGATAATTAGTTTTTTCTTAGTTTTTAATGAACATGTTTGTTGTTATGTAAGCTAGCGCTAAGTGTGTAACGTTAATTGTGTTTTGGCTAACGACTGTCCGTTAGCTACCGTTAGCTACCAGCGGTCGTACGCTTCAGTCTGAATGGTGACTGATTATTTTTCTTACCGGTGTCCTGAGCGCCTGAACTCTATGTAAAAAGTGAGATGGACATAAATTCATGAGACACCTCTGCCTACATTCCCCGTCCCCGTCAGGTGTAGGTAGGGTTAGTAGGCCTGTTCACAGTAGCCGACATGAGATAGTAGAGTAAACACAGGTGCTACCAATGACACTAATTAAGGTTCCGTTCCATTTAGTGCAGTAGAGACTTTCCAGGAAGCCAACATACACAACAGCAGCACCCTGACTCTGTTTGACCTGAATGGAAAGCAACCTTAATTAGAGTAACATGTAATTGTGATTACCCTACTATTTAATGTCAAAACGGCCGTTGTGAAGGTGTAGGCCTACTGAAGGGGACATTTTGCACTGTCTGGCATAAAGTTAGGCCTGTGATGAAGGGACTCAGTTATCCCTACGAGCTGCTGCAGGTCAGTTAGTTTATTCCATATTATAGCCAGAAATAAGACAGCAGACCTTGTTGATCTTTGTTTAAAACAAAGAAGGGTCAGTTACTCAAGCAAATACAATGTGAGGAGCAAAAAAAAAAAAAAGCATTTCGGTTTCGAGTATTGAGCAACACCAGAAACATGCAGTGTGTCCATAAAAATGCTTCCAGTAGATTGACTGTATATTATACTGGGAATGGGTTATGTGTTTAAGCTGGTCTCTAATGTCTCATACTTTGTGTCTCAAGGGCAGCACCAACTCTATCACACCTTCACTGTCTATATGGTTTTTAAATAAAGCATTTGCAGTAATTTGACCATAATGATTTCTTACAAAATTTCTTTCTTAGTCTCTCATATACCCACATACTCCTTTTGTTTCACAACCATCGTCCCCATTTACATCGTAAGCAAAACAAGTGCAAAGCCACAACAATGAACAGCATGTTGCCCTGAGGACTCCTTGCGCACATGCAATAAATTACAAACCACATCTATCAACATTCAGGATAAACTTCTCCGTGTGCCTGTAGACTCAACTATAATGTGTTCACATGTATTCCTCTGCAGCAGTTACAGCACCATGTGTTTTGAGTGTTGGTGAAAAGCAGCTTCGTTCAGTCAGAGCACTGCTCGTGGTGCTTGCGGCTCACCACATCCTCTTGTAGTTTAGAAAATAAACACGTTGTCCTCACACGTAACCACAAAGGCCTCCCAGTGCGTACACTGTGACCTTCTTCTGGGCCCTCGGTGTCAACAAAGATTATTAGGTGTGTAAAAGACATGTTGTGCAGTGAGGAGGAATTGCATGTAGTCTGATCTGCTGCTGTTGCTTTGTGGGTGAGGTAACATCAGTCAGTGAGGTGGAAAGACCTTGTCAGCTCTATCAGTAGTAAGGATGAGGAGTAGTGAGGGGGGAAAACATAAGCAAATCCTGTAATGTGTTGCATTATAGGTTCCATTAGGCCTCTGTCTGAAGACTAAACTATGAGGGAGAAGGCCTTCTGGGTTGATAGCACAGAGAGATTCAAGGTCACCTCCTGTCTGGTTTTATGTGTGTTTGTGTGTCTGTGGGGAAGAGAGTACGGAGGGTGTGTGAAGGCTATTTTTTTTCACAACCATCATATCCTCTTTTTGCCTAAGACTGACAAGCAGCACTAGCACCTTTATAAATAAAACTAACATCTAGCTTCTGTCGTCACTATAGTGTAGTATCAATGCATAAATAACACATATTAAAATCATTATTTTTTGCGGCTTTCTCAGTCAAACCGGCCTTAAAGTTTATAGGGTAGAATGACCAAATGCACAGCCTATTATGTGGCTTCATCTTTGCCTTTTTAGCGCTTGAACACATGCATTAAATGTATATTGAATTTCTTCAAACAGCTTGTACATCATATCATATACGGTTTTAGTAAAAAAAAATTGGCACTGTGGCACCAAAAGTCTAAGCAGTTTTTTGTATGAACATAAATATAGTTTCGATTTTCTAATTTAGGTGTAAGCTTTTATCGACCAAATGCATTAATTGATGATATGCAGCCGGTCAAATAAAAATAGAGGTAACAGCTCAAGTGGAGTTCTGCAGAAACAGGGAAGTCTTTTGGGGGGAGGTTGCATCCCACCCTCTGCCTCACCTCCATATCCACTCTTTAAGGGTGATGAGCAGTTCCAGAGTGAAGTACTGCAGTGTGAGCAGAGGTTTCTTCCATAACACAAGAGCTGCACGCTCATCGTTGTCCCTCTGTCTCCTCTCATCCAGAGACAGCTCTGAGCCTAAAGCCGCACAGCGTGGGTATTGCAAACACACACCCACATAAGGGAGTTAATCATACAAGGAATTAAAATTTCAAAATAAAAAACATGCAAATACAACAAAATGTTTGACCCCTTCTTAAAGGCTTTTTAGCACTAATGGACTAATAATAAAAGTATCTTTAAGCATAGGTTAAATCTATTGCTTTATTAGACGTCTTTTGCTTTTACCTGTCAGCTCTCCATTTAGCTGTTCCTTGACTCCAAGGCGCCTCTGAGGTAGCTCACCTTCAGCCCCACACTCTGCCATCTTATTCACTAGGTAGGAGTCCTACTGAGAGAAGAGATGGGCCTTTAGCACAGTATGACCCACCGTACATTGCTCTCCAGATCTGAAGCGGAAGCGGACCCAAAACAAATGCACATTCAAACATGCCTGTATATACTCCCACACACCGGCTGCTGGTGTTCCTGTACTATCCTGCAGATTACTGGTAACCCAATCAGGCCTGAGCATAACCTGATGAGTACTTTAATTAGAATCAGTGTTGACACTGGGAGCACATCCAAGTCTTGTTCATTTTTCTGTGTACACTTAGTCCACCTCCCATGGTGTTCAAAAGGCGTACACAGTAGAAGGAACAGTGATGTGAGAAAATTCTGGGTGAAAAAGAATAAGACATGACTTTGCTTATTGTTTCTTCATTACATTTACTCAAAGGAGATACACACATTTATTCACGTGCTTACAAGCATGTGCACAGAGTGTCTCACTACAGAGCCTCAAGTCTCTCAGGAATCTGTCAGTGAGTAGTGAGATGGGGACTCTGACGTGAAGGTATGCAGCTTACCATCTGGTGGAATTGTCAGTTTCTTGCACACACACACACACACACACACACACACACACACACACACACACACACACACACACACACACACACACACACACTCAGACTCAGAGCTTAATCCCTCTATCCTGTGCCCTAGGTCTGGGCCTCTGGCTCCTGTTTCCATGTGTTCACCCTGGTAGGGCCATGATGCCTCTTTAGAACCTGTAGGAATTTGACTGATACACTTGTGAGAAATATTTAGATTTTCTTTCTATTTGCTTCAGATTATTATGCATACATCACGAGCACCTGATAATGAAGTTGTCGCTCCTTTGTAGTCTAGTTCATGCAGCTGAAGTGTCGTACAAAGGAAAATAAAAAGTCTTCTCAGACGATTATACTGCTAGGCATTTGGAGAGCTACTCTTGGCCTTCTCAGGGAACTACAAACAAAAGCTTTTCAGCACAGACCTTAAACCTTGCACACACATTCACACAAGAAGTACTGTGCCAATGTTTCCTGCACAATAGTACTTAATGCACCCTATCATTTCTCCTCTTGCACTGCAAACATTGTATTGTCCAACAAAAAGGGCTCAACAAGTGCGTCAATGTGTGATATGCTGTCAACAATACTAATAGAAATTGATGCCAAATAGGTCACTTTGTACGAAACAGCACCTTAACTGCTTGTGCTTAAGTATGTGCTTTATTCTACACAACAGTTAATTTGATTATTACTTGAATTCTGATGCAGTATTCATAATCAATACCTAGCAAACAGTTCCATAACAACTCTACTGCGTGTGTAAAACACAGTAGCACAGCACTGCACTGCCCCGTCACTTGATTGCGCAATTGCTTCTACCAAAACAACCCAGACCTGTTGAGTAACTCTTGTGCGAGGGACAATGAGAAATTTAACACAGAGCACATACACTTCAGGATGAGAAAGTTGATAGGCTGCAATCAATTTTCACATTTTAAACAGAGATGACCACAGTGAACTGGAGAGACATTAATTTCACAAGGTGTAAAACAAAGCAGAGCTGTAATATAACAGCATAGTGTATTTAAGCAATGCATTATGCAGAGAGGGTAAACTCACCGTTCAGCTGATGATTAGTCCACAGTAAACTCTGAGCTCAAATAAAACCTGTGGTGGAGCCCCAGTGGCAATGTAGGGCAAAAGTACGCTACCCATGAACTGCATCATAACATGAGTGCAGGGTGTGGTGATGGAGGGGGCCAGCAAGGGATAGATACAGAGTTGCCGGGGGAGGGGAGAGCAAGCTGACAGAAAAGAGATGGACAGAAAGACGGAGATATTTCATCATATGCCTAGTAGAACCTCCAGAGAGCCAGTCTAATTAAAGGTCTATAAATAAGTGGATCACTTTCCTGGAGCACACTTCTAACACTTCTCAGTCCTCAGTAGGTTTCACACAGAGAGTGAATGAATGGCATTTGGGCAAAGAGAGCTCAACTAATTCCCAAATTGAAAAAAAAAAACACCTCAGGACATCGCATTTTTCAGGTCATAACTAGAAACAGAAGACCTCAGCTGTATATCATGTTAGAGTTTCAGCGCCATCTTGTTTATCAGAGTGAGAAAAGTATTACAGAACTCTTTCTGGAGTGGCCTTGTGGGTCATTTACGAAATTCGCCATCAGACTTCAGTGACAGCGAGTATATACTCTACGTTGAAGTGCAAAACATGGATGATATCAGTGTCAAGCACAGCCTTTGGAAGCTGTCCAGAAGTCCTAGCACCTCAGTCAGATCAGTTACCTCCAATTAGGTCTTGACTTGTAATATTGTTGAGAGGTCACTTAGTTCATGTAAGAGAGGCATCAGGTTTAAAAGAAAGAGTCAAACTAGAGACTGATTCAGGAAACAGTAATAGGTACCAAAGCAGGAAAGAGTGATAAATTCATCCGGCAGTTTAAAGGCAACAAGTACACTGTAGCAGGGAACTTCACAACTCTCACAAATAAGGGGGTAAAGTTATTTATCATCGTTATAAGCAAGGTTTTTCAAAATAAGACTAAAAGCTGTCTGGTGAAAACATCCAGTACACCCAGAAAAAGACAGTGCTGGACCCTTTGTCACTGGAACAATAGCATCTTGGATTTGCCCCAGTTAGAATCATTCTAGCCTTTTTTCCTGAGAGAAAAGAGGCTGAAGAATATCTTCCCAAAATGAATAGACCTCCACTTTTAATTTTTTCACATCCATCCATCCAGTCTCTATATTCCAACCCATATCCAGGGTCATTCGTAACACTTCACATGCATGCATTGCTCTGTCACCTCCCAGCCAGCTGACACTATGCAGTCATCTGAGTTTACAGCAGCAGTCTGTCCATGTGCAGCACACACTCTATGGCCTGGATCTTGGCAGGCCATATTCGGTCTGTGTCATGTCATATTTAACAATATACACTGCACTAAATTACATGGAGCCTATACCTGCCTGACAAATAGGAAGAGAAGGGTGTATGTAGACATACCGTCCCCGTTTGAAAAGAGATTGAAACTACTCATGTCTTATGCAGTTTTTGTTGTTTGTGATGTAGAAAGAAATTGCATTCGCCATGTAAATACTGCAGATTCTGTCTGCAAGTAAAACCAAAGTCTTACTCAAAATAATCTACAACTAATAGAATAGATAAACAGCAGACAAGCTTGATGATATAATGTTGGGAAGGATAACGTCTTTTATCTGTAGGACAGTCTTGTAAATTTGGGATGAAAGGGAAAATGATACTTTACTTTATACATTATAGCTTGTCTTTTCTTCGCTTGAAACACAACAAATCATGTGTATGTGTCTAAGATTCATGGGAGAGGTTGTTGAATGCTACAAAAAAATAAACGAATATCTTTTTTTTAAATAATTAGAAGCACCTCAGCAAGTACATCACTTTATACCGATCTGTTAAGGATATGGACTGAAAACCCCACTATCATCTATCAGCTTTTCAAAGACACATGGCATGTTACACTGTACATGGTTTTATTTCCAGGAGCCTGTTGTTTTAGGTGAAGCCTATCTTGTTTTAGTCAGTCAGAGGATGCCTACTTTGCTCAATAGAGGGCAGTGTTGGCCTAAAAGTTGGTGTTGAACTGGCAGGATAAATCAGAGTGAGGAAAGTCTCCCCTTAGCAAGGCTCCAGTGGAGCTACATTACAGTTTTTCCCCATTGGTTTGGCTCATTTCTTGAAAAAGAAATTACATTCTCAAAACTCTAAGATCATTTGGCAAAACAGTCTTACAGTTCAGCACAACACCATAGTTCACCTGCAAAAGCTAATATCTCTCCCAAAACTGTTCACTCATGCTTCCAAACTAAATTCCTTTCCCATATAAATAGTCAGTGCCACCAAAATGCATTGTCCCTTTGGCATTGTGTAAGCACTGCAAGTCAAAATGTTTAGATGTTTTGTCACTATGGCAGAGGACCATTGAAATATCCCTCATGTCCACCTCTCAGTCTTATCCCAGTCCTTCATTGACAGTGGTTACTGTACTAGTTTTTTTTTGTCTAGCTAACAGAATACAATTGTGTATAAAACTGGAAAAAAAGTAGGATTTTACAGTAAGAGTACCCTCCAAGGTTTGACATCACACATTGCACTCATACTGCCAAGGAAATTGTAACCATTTTTATTCACACACATAATGTAACTTCCATACATCAGAGTTAAAAGAAAATGTATACAGCACAATATACTGTAATATAAACACAAAAAAAACCCCAAGGAAAATTATACGTAGCCTACAGTGCTGTAAATAAAGCTGGAGATTCAAAACTAACATTTCTTCACTGGTTGCTGTCCTCACCCTCCCTCTCCTGGCCACCATCCTCGCCCTCCTGGCCGCCCTCCTCACACTCCTGGCCATCCACACGCTGCTGTCTGTCTGGCCACAGATTCTCATCCACATCACAGCGTATATTCTCCCTTGCGATGCAACGAGGGAAGAAACGGCATGCATGTCGCAACCATCCCCTGCACTGATCTCCTGTAATATCATCACATGCAGCGTCCATTGCATGGAGCAGGGACCTCTGATTTTGAGCCTGATGTTCATACACTCTCCACCTCCAAGCGGAGAAAAACTCCTCAATAGGATTGAGGAAAGGAGAGTAAGGTGGTAGGAACACCATGACCATCCTTGGATGAGTAGTGAACCAGGCCCTGATGAGCGGGCCACGGTGGAAATTCACATTGTCCCACACAATTACATACTTTCGTAGGTGAGGCCCTACGAGACCTCTCTCATTTTCAGGGATCAAATCAGAATGAAGGCGGTCCAAGAAGATGAGGAGCTTCTGTGTATTGTATGGGCCAAGACTGGGGATGTGAGTGGCCACACCATTCTCAGAAATGGCAGCACACATAGTTATATTGCGCCCACGCTGGCCTGGGACATCCACCGTGGCCCGGTGGCCAATAATATTACGGCCACGTCTTCGGCCCTTGGCCAGGTTGAAGCCAGCTTCATCCACAAACACGAGGATGTGAGGAGTCTCATTTCCTTCCAATGCCATTATTCTCTACAATAGAGTAAAAAAAAAAAAAATCATCAAATCAGTCATACAGAAGAGTCATACACTAGAGTAACAGAAAATTACATAGGAATGTTCTATGTTCTCCTCCACAAGTTCAATATACTACTGGCCACTACTCCAGTGGTTCCAAACCTGGAGTACATGTATCCGTAGGGATAGGCCTACGCAGAGGTACTACAGAGGGTATTTGAGAGAAAGGGGAGGGGGAAATCATCAATGACTAGACATACTGAAATGTTACAGTAAAACCCACAGTATTAGATAGATCTGCTTGGGAGGCACTAATTGCAGCTCCTTGACCCCTTTTCTTACCGTATGTTATATTCTTCAAAATAAGGATTATAATGATAAGCTGCAGTTTTTAGGCAAAATGTTGAAGTCAGATAAAGCAAATACTTGGATTCAGACATCAGGTAAAGGGGGTACTGAAGCCAGAAAAGTTTGGGAACCACTGCTTAATTGTAAAAAGGTTATAAAGATAGACAACCGGTAACTGACTTACATGTACATACTGGTACCGCAGCTCTTTCACTCTATCAGAGTTCCTCTCAAATGGTACCCTATAAAGTTGCTTCATGGTCATCTGATGCTTGTTCAACATCCGGTCTATTGTGGAGATGCTTATAGAGTTGACATTTTGGAATATGGCATTGTCTTCTATGATTGTATACATATGTATATGTATTTCTTACAGAATGAGTTACCAGTGTAATTGTATTGTTGTTTTACTTACAGTAACTTTACCACAATTCTTGTGCATCTGTAATACTACTGTAAACTGTATCATCAATAATTCGATTTATTTTCTCCAATATTTTCCTTGTCATTTTTAGTGTCATAACATCCCATTGAGGTAAGATATTACTGTAGGCCTATAACACACACACACACACACACACACACACACACACACACACACACACACACACACACACACACACACACACACACACACACACACACTAAATAGGTAAATGAGTAAATAAATACATCTCTTGCTTTATGCACAGTGCCCTGTCCTATTCAACATATAATTCCATCATTGACTGAGTACATACTTGTGTTCCCTGCAAAAGGTTTGGATGATGGAGGAGACTGTAGAGCGGGGCACGTAAGGTTGCACTCGGCGACCTGCCTCCGCCATTGTGAGGCGATGGTTGATAACATGGTCTATAAGTGTGGCACGAATTTCCTCTGGGACAGCATGGTGTCTTCGTGCTCCTTGGCCTCTTCCCCCTATTCTACCACTTACTCCTCCTCCTCTTCTTCCTCTTCCTCGAGCAGACAGTTGCCCTTGTTAATTTACTTGGCCAGGTGCCTCCATGTTCAGAAATTGTACTGGTCCTGGTCAAGCTCTATACATACATGTTTGGCAGCATTCACAATCATGGACAGCACCTGTCAGGTAACTAAACATATTGTTTGATTGGTCATCTGAGATGTGTGAAACTCCTCCTTCGTTAGTGAAGTTCTATTTTCACCTGACTGTCAATTAATCAATTTATCAAATGTTTGAGATTCATATATGGTATTCATGGTATTAGGTTCTTGACTAATTTTGACAATTGAACAGACTATTGTGCATGTGATAACTTATACAATGAAATGATTCTGACATGTTTTGGAGAGAACAACCATTAGACTGAGAATCAACAATCAGTTTAGATTAGATCTATTCACTTGGAAATTGTGCTAAATCTAGGCTAACTGTAGGCTACCTGTACTTAATCATTTGCAAAGATGTACTAAGACATTTGCAATGTTTGCTTTAAAAGAAAATCATGAGCTGTCTCCCATACTACATACTAATTGTGTAATGTATGTTCTATAATTGTAATACTGTTGTACCATAAAATAAAATTAAAAAAATCCACACTAATAGGAAATTAAATAATACTACATCTGCCCATGGACATACATCTGACGGCAAATGTTTCTCTAGTCCTTTCTGTAGCTGTTTCACCATCAGCAGCAAAAGATATTATTTTTGTAATTCATTAATTATTTCCCAGCTCTCAGCAGGTCCTCTCTTTCTTCTGTGCATTATATTTTGGGATGACAGTGAATAATAAGAGCACACTCAAAAATCATGCATTTTTCTAGTATCCATATCGGCTCAGTGTTAATTTTGCCACTTTTCCCAGAATTAAGTAGTGAAGTTCATACTCAAAACTTATGTAATAATAAGAATAATAATGTTTTTTGTACTATATTGTATACTTATATATAAAATATATGCATATTATTATAATTATATTATTATTATTATTATATGATAGTATGGACCATATCATTGGCATTTGGTTTGATTTGTACCTCTGCTCCCTGCTCTGGAATCCAGACTGTTGCCATGTAGAATGTGGAATCCAGACTGATATTCTCATATAGACTCATAGAAACTGGAATGTCTTTCTAAGGAATCTCAGTGGACTACTATTTTGTAAACCAGATATTAATTTTGTGAAGCATCTAACGCGTCAGAAGAAGCAAACGACGAGATGGAGGCAGTGCACTTCATAGGTCTAGAAGAAATAATTGATGTATCTGATGAGCAACTGCAAGAGGCTGAAGAAGATGAGCAAGACATCAAGTACGTGTCTTAGGGTCAAATACAGATTGTCTCTTTGCTCCCAAGTCTTGTTTGGCAATATGTGATAAAGGCAACTGTCAACATAAAACTTTGAACTCTGATGTGTCTGTAGTTATAGGGAAGAGATCAGGAGAAGACTACATCAGGCTGAAGCCAGCAACAGAACGACGAGGAAGCTCCATGAGCACGAGTTAGAGGAGGAAGAGGGCATTTTGAGACTGATAAGTGAGGTGACAGCTGAGAATAAGTACCTCACCAGCAAACTGAAAGAGTATGATACTTAACTAACTAGAATTTATGTTTTGTCCTATCATGGTAAGAATGTGACCTACATATGCACTGAGTGTGCTTGGCTCCAAAATTCATTATCTATGTAGTGCTGTTAGTGAATCTCAAAAGGCTAAGATATTATTTTGGTTGATTTTGTATTCAGGCTCCAGCAGCAGGTGGAAAATATAAGATGGGAAAGGCAACTCCAAATTGAAGCAGAGGATGAAGAAACTCTGTGTCAGGAGCAGGGAGAAAGTGCTGTTAAGAGTCAAACAATTTGCATAAGGAAGATGGTGAGTGACACATCTAAATTTCTTCTTCTGTTCATTTAATATGATTACCTTCCTTAACGAGATTAGATTCATTAGATAAAAAATGAATGTTCGGGTATAAAACAGGATATATTTACAATGTAAATAGAAATGAGATACAAGCTTCTGAATGTATAAAATGTAATACGTAAAGTAGGTTCCAACCAGAAAATTCATCTCAAAGATTTGAAATTCAGAATAACCCATGTTGGAAAACCTCTACATCATATACTGTCATTATAAATAGTGCCAGATTTTCCTGCTCAGACACACTATCTGGAGCCTCCTACAATCAATGTAACGTTTGGAGGGTCTGGTCTCCAGGTAGTTATGATTTGTCTTCATCTAAATAACATCAGGACAAAACTGTACCCAGACCTTAAACCTTGAAACCAGGTCGCCCGGGTGGCTCACCCGGTGGAGCTGGCACCCTGTGTGTCGGGGCTGAAGTCCTTGCTGCAGCTGCAGTGGCCATGAGCTGCGTGTCATCCCCCCTCTCTCTTCCCCCTTTCTTGTCAGTCTTGAGCTGTCCTATATAGTAAATACAAAAACACCCACCAAAAAAAAAAAAAAAGATATATATATATATATATATATAAGACATCAAGGCTTGTGGTGACCATTTTAACTAGTGTGATATTAAACTGAGAAAAAAAATTTGACATCAGATTTATTTTGCCATGCAACTAGAAGCAAACTTCTTTGAAATGATGACCAGCCAGTAGCCTTCACATGAACTGGTGTTGATTTCTTGCCCTGATTTCATTTCTCGTCTTTGTTTTGTGCAGGAAAAAGAGATTCAGAAGCTTAGGGAGAAAAATGCGGATTTGACTGCTCAGGTATGACCTCTGACTCTGCCATATACTTATTATATGTTGCCCTGTTTGTGGTTTTCACCATTTTACAGCCAAACTTTAATCTCTGAAAGCATAAGAAGTATGTAATTGTTGGTCACATGCCAAATTCACTGATAGAATTAAAAAACACAGCCACAACTAAAAATACTTTAAAACTGCATTTAGCTGGCATTCATTTCCGTGCACCCTCCTCTGGATCCCACTCTCACTCTGAGCCGCTTGTCTTTCAGCTGGAGCAACTCTCTCTAGGAGAGAAATATCAGGAAGAGATACAAAACCTGAGGACAGCTGAGCAGGAATTGAAGGTAAAACCCAGTTCTTCACTTAACATGATGTAGTTATATATATATCCCCCCCCCCAAAAAATAGCACATTCATCCAGCTCTAGCATTATAGTTGATGGCTGACTTGTGTGTTTTGTAGCACAAACTGGAGGAGGTTCAGGAAGTCCTACGTAGTAAAGATGAGGAAATAGTTAGGGTATGAACAACTTTATGAAATCTTCAAGATCACATTTTGTAAAAATTACCTGTAGCACCACTTCATTTTATTATTTTTTTATGAAAAAGTCCCTTAATCTGAGTGTTTCTGCAGAAATCTATTACCTTGATTCAAGAGAATAACGAGTTAGAGGAGTATTTCAACAGCATTGAGGTATGTACCATGTGTGTGTGTGTGGTGTGTGTGTGTGTGTGTGTGTGTGTGTGTGTGTGCTTACTGTGGCCATCATTGGACCCATCTGACATTTCATCTCTCTTCTGCAGGACCTCAGACAGGATCAGCGAGAACTTCGACAGCAGCTGAGCAGCAGACAAGAGGATCACATGTTGTAATTACTGTTATATTTTTGCTGGTTATGCTGGTAGAACAGTAGTCCCTACTTAAACATACTACAAGGAGTTTTGAACTGCTTATCAAACAGTATCGATTTATTACTGATCTCTATATGACCTAGATAAACAAACTATTAGAGAAAACATTGGCTATTTCTACTGTATATAGAGAGACTCAATGCCTGCCTCTGGGTTGGATTTGTAGTGCATTTCGGTGGGTGATGACAGTGTCGACCATGTTGTAGCTTAGCAATCCACGCTGAGCAGAAGTCTGTGTGGAGCTGTCTGTTTTCTCACATTTATCTGTGTTTTGGTTTGATAGGGCTACACAGAATTTCCACAAATCCACAACAAATGAAAAAGAATGTATGTTTAGCCGGTGTGCTAAGAGCCCGTGGAAAGGATTAAAGGTAGCAGGAGCTGTGGCCCTTTCTGTCCTCCTTCCTGTGGGTATCGTGGCCTCCATGGCGCCTGTCTGCAACAATCCAGATCCTGACTGCAACCTTTGGAACATTGCTTTCGACCTGCTGGAGCCCTACAGCGAGCTCTATCACATGCTCCCTCCTGTTTACTAACACAAGGTTGAAAGTGGGATGCAAAGTCATTGTTCCAACGGCTCATTATTCAGGAATGAAATAATATCCCCAATAAAAAAGCACAAGGAGTTAGTCTCAGAGTGCTTGCATTCTATTCTATTCTACTTCTTTCTGGCAGTAAATGGGTGGACCCAGTTCTCACTGTATCTCTACTTATAACTGGTTACAATCCTTGTCTTTTTCCCATATGAGAGTGGTTGGGAAAATGGGCAAGTATATATCTAACTGTAGTAATGGAGGTCAGCCTTCAGGTAGAAGTAACACTGGTACTTAATTCTTCAGACATATAGATATTATTGTTTTCAAATATTTACATATTATTATATATTATGAATATTATTTCCATATATTTTCATTTTCAATTATATTATATTATCATTTGTGGTCTTTGCCAAGGTTTCTTCCATTTTTTCCTGTTAAAGAGATTTTTTGGGAGTTTTCCCTTGCCGTCTTGAGAGGGCTGCTATTTTAAAAGGTTTGTGTGGAGTTGGTATATTTGCCTGTGGAGACATTCTTCAAAGATGACTATTTTTTTAATTTTTTTAACAAATAATCTATATATATTGTATATATGTATATAATATAAAATATGTATTTCTTTGTGTTATTTTGATATAATAGCAATACTGTAATAATATTAATAACAATTCAACCAATATATAAAACATAAAATAAGAAACAATTGTAAAGCTTCTTTGTTGATAATGAAACAATAAATAAAGCACTAATTACATTACATGATAGGTTTAACCCTGAACCAGCAGTTTACATCTGGAAACGTGAAATAGCAATACTTTATCTGTTAATTCACTGAATTAAATTGTTCATTTATTTACTATTTGGCTGTTCATCAATTGATTACTGGATGTCAGGGTTCATCTAAAACCAGCATCCAGTAAGGTACTTGGATGCCTTGAATTTATAGTTTTAAAATGTCCTTGGATTATTACATACATATTATGTTACTCTGTCTGTCTGTCTGTCTTAGAGGACAGCTGTTACTGCTCTGTCACATTTGAGCATAGAGGTTAAACCAACACACCTGTCCAGAGCCAGTGTTTGGTTTGTCTGTTCTGGGCTACTGTAGAAACATGGCGGTTCAACATGGCGGACTTGTGGAAGAGGACCCACTCCCTCTGTAGATAAACTGCTCATCTGCTATAACTGCTATATCTTGCTAAATGTTAGACACTGGACCTTTATTCATTCATTTCTGTGTGACTCACCTGGCGGCTGACTTCTTCTATTCAGTCATTTCTTCAGTCAGGCAACAAAAACGTATGGTGTTCCTTTTACTTTCTTATTTAAGGCGAATATTCCCAATATTGTTGACCCAACATATTCCTTTCACTTAAAGTTGTGGGGTTGTGACGTCATCACCAAGCGCCCAAAGGGAAAGTACATGACGCTTCGTTCATGCCGCGAGCGGCGAGACATCGATCGACCCCGCAGGTAACGGTACGTGACCGCTATTAACCGCTGTGATCTACTGAGTATCAGTGCAGCTGCACCGTGGGGGCTCGAACTGTATGAACAGCAGTGTGTGTGTGTGTGTGTGTGTGTAAAGTGAGAGCTGTTGAACGGTCTTGTCTCTAGCCAGGAAGCTAACGATAGCTAGGCTCGTTCCTCTAATATAAAGTGAAGTTAGCAGTTGTTACAGGTACACGGAGTTACTCAACACTGATAAAAAGAAAATAAAATGACTTTTAGTCGTTCAGGCGTGTTGAACAATGAATGTATAACTCCAGTCTTTGAGCCAACACGTAGGAAAGGTCCTTAAAGTGAGAAGAGAAGTTAACATGTGGACATCTAACGCTACATTTCCATGACAACCGGGAGGATAGCTGACTGTGATATGATCAAAGGCTCCAGCCTGGTTGGACTTTGTTTTATCAAATGCTGTTTTTGATTTGATAAAGTTGACGTTGCTGTCTTAAACATTGTGCCTTGTCATTTCATTATGTAACGTTAGATATGTAACCTAACTTCTTCTGTCCTGTCAGTTTTGCAGACACTATGGATTTGCTCTGTGGTCCATTGGGCTTGGGTGTGGTAGCAGGACTGGGCTGTGGGCTCTTCCTCGGTTGGCACCTTCGGACTCGCCTCGGCCCTTCATCTAAAAGCCTGATGGCAGCGATGGGGGAAGGCACCGGTGAAGCAAGTGTGATGGGAGAAGGAGGCGAGTTCAAGATGATACTAGTGGTCCGAAATGATCTGAAGATGGGCAAAGGGAAAGTCGCTGCCCAGTGCTCCCATGCTGCTGTGTCGGCTTACAAACAGGTTCAGCGCAAGAACCCTGAGCTACTCAAACAGTGGGAGTTCTGTGGCCAGCCCAAGGTGGTGGTGAAGGCCCCCGATGAGGACACTCTGATTAATCTTCTGGGTCATGCCAAAGAAGTGGGACTTCCTGTAAGCCTGATTCAGGACGCAGGAAGGACACAAATTGCACCAGGGTCCCGCACTGTGCTGGGTATTGGTCCAGGCCCAGCTGATCTGATCGACAGTGTCACTGGGGACTTGAAGCTCTATTAGAGTTCTGGCTTTCATCTGTAGGACTGGCATCCTTTTTTTTTTCTTTTTTTTGTTAAAACAATGTAAACTAAGTTGGCCTACCATGAGTTTATATTTTTATACAACATTGACCCAGTTGTATGCTAAGTACTTGAATTTTTCTTGTGCAGTTGTGGGGATTTTGTGCTCTTACCCTATCACATACAGATCAGCTGACTCTTAGTAGTGAGAACGGCTTCATGTTCTGTGACAGTGGGAAAAACCCCAAACACTGTATGCTAAGGCCTGTATCTGGAAACATGATGCTCAGAACAAATAAATGATTGTTGATCTTTCTAGAATCACAGTGACAATAGACCTCGTCATTGCAGGAAAAACAGAGGTGTTACTAATAACATCATCAATGGCTTAGGTCTATTAAGCGTCCAAGTAAGGCATGACGGTGAGCCAGCGTGCAAAATAGCAGTGCCTTGGAATTGGTTAAAAGGAATGGCATGCAGGTATTACTGTTTTTGATTACACCAATGCTTGTCTTGCTGTGACATGTCAGGATGTATGTCTGCTGTGAAAAAGGTCTGTACTGACTATGGTCCCAAATGCTGTTCTCTTAAGAAATAAATTGAGAAAAATATCTTTTATAATCTCACAAAATGCATTCTTAATAAAAAAATATCCTTTTAAGTTTTTATACTGTAACGTATTTAATACTTTGGAATACCACGGAGGTCACTGCAATGGGCAGTTTTGTCTGATGGGATTTTGCAGTGCAGCTGGTTATATGAATGTAATATTAATATTGTAATGCAATTGATATTTGGATTTTATTATAAAACCTTGAAGAATCTTAAATATTTTTCACTTTCTGAAATAATTGGAAGTCGGAATCAATTCCTCCACTTCGTTAGTTATCGTATCCACATCATCTTATTGTGTGCATTTACTTAAATTTTCTGAAACATCAAGTTAAAATCTTCAAGTTGTTTTAAGTGAGATATATCCATATTCTGATCTTTTTACTTGCTGCTTTACTACTAGCACCCTCTGTTTACCATCAGAGGGTGCTAGTACTACATCCTGCTGTTTTACGCAAGTCATATAATGCTGAACTGATCTGAGCATATTAAGATAGCAGGCATTACCCAAGGAAGACAAAGTAACTGGAACACGTTATAATATACAATAGAAACACTGATACACTGTTTGGAAATGGAGAAGTCATTATTCTTGGAGCGATATCACATAGTTTTGGACAATATTACATTACACTACAAACTACAGCATCTCTTTCATACACTTTACAGCCTATGCTCAGTATCTATCATTCTTACTAGAACCATAACATCACTTCCCTTTTTTGGTGCTGAATGTGCAGCAAATTGGACGGAAAGCAAATGTGACCCGCACCTCTACTGTGTTCATCTCCTGCACATGACTGTACATGCAAGACACAATCAGACTGTTCTTGACAAACAAGAAGCCTTTATTTTTAAGTGGAAAACAAAACCGCTGTTTCATTCATTATGATCCTGATTATGCACAATCAAGTATCTTAAGTGCACAAAATCTAAGGTAATTTAGATAAGAATATAAGTTCAAAAGGAGTTAATGATTGATTTCCTGTATACACGCAAGCCTTTGATAAAAACTTCAAATTACCACGAGTCCTGTGATATTGTTTCTGAATTGGATGAGCGGGTCAACTGAAAAATGTTTAAAGGCAACCCAAAACAATACAAGAGGAGAACAAAGTTTGAAAAATCTCTCCTGCACACTCAATAACAGTGACCGAAAATGATATCCATCAGAAACAAACCGCAGCGTAAAGAGGGGGCATGGGGCATGTTAGTCAAACACAAACAGGTCTGCAGTCCCTCCTGAGGTGGAATGTTCCCACGTTAGAGCAGTATTTAAAGCACATGGAAATGTCATCTGAATGCAAATTTGTATGGAGAGTCCTGCATAGGCTTTGCTGGAAAGAATCAAACTTTCCTTTAAATCGTATGTAAAATACTCTCTTGGGTTTTCTTCAAGAAACAGCCCTGAAGTGTGTGTGTGTGCGGGGACACGACTGGTACAACGTAGTGTTTCAGGATTGTGGTCATGGAAGCGGCGGTCTCATGTTCAAATATAGAAGAACATAGTAGCATTTTTTTTGTGTCTGAATATACAATAATTAAATGCATTTTACAGTCGGACAGAAGAAGCTGCTCACACACATCAAAAGGAAAAGGTTCTACATTAATTCTTCTCACTACAGAGTGCAAATCAGATGCTTCACAACAGACCTTTTTTTTTTTTTTTAAACTGAGAAGAGGACTAGCTCTTCCCACAAGCCCCCCATTGTACATAAACCATTTCCCATTCAAATAAAATAGACAAAAGAAAACTTAATCTAGTCAATACGGAATGTGAGAAAATTAATCTTTGTGATGCAATCGTTTTCTTTGACAAAAATAAAACTGAGTCCTTCATGACAGTTTAAAAAGGGGAAAAAAAGTAAAAAAAAACAAAAAAAAAGTTTGTCTGTTTTATCCCCTGCTTCCTGAAGAGGGCAGAGAGAGACAATAATGGTCTGGTGAAGGACTGTGGGAGATGGATGGATGGTAGCTCCAGCCTGCAAGTGGAGAGAGGGGTCAGGGGTCTTTACATGCCGTAGCCAAAGCCTGGCTGAGCTGCTGGCTGACTGTAACCCGCAGGTGCCTGGTAGCCGTAGCCGTAAGCTTGCTGAGGGGCCACAGGTACGCTTGGGCCCGCTGTCAGCATCAGCTGAGGTGTGCCTGCAAGGTACACACAAAGGAAAGGTTTCAAACATGTTATTGGTCTGCGTTATTTTAACTAGAGCGACAGTTTAACACTAGACAGACACAGTTAGCGACTAGCTGGTAAACACAGAGGAGTATTTAGCAGCTAAAGATCGAGATATTTCCCTCAGGAGCTTGTAGAGCAACCAATACGAGAGCTAAAATGGAGTGAATACTGGACTTAAATTCACCAGGTGGCAACTGCGTGCTAACAAAATCACCATATTAACTTAAAAAGATGATGATACGTCAGAAATCATCGTTATTGCAGGTTAAATTAATGCAGCTTTAACAAATTCAGACATTAAAAGACTCAATGACCACAGGGAACACTGGGTAATCTAGGGTCCAAAATGTGTGGAAGGAAGACTGCCACCTTTGCTTGTGATCACAGGCAAATGGACATTGATGTCATTAGTGGACTGTTACCATAAACGATGGGTTGCGTCTCTGTTGCCTGCTCCTCCTCTTTCCTTAGGGACTCTGAGGTTTCTAGTTTATCTACCTGCAAGACAAAGAGATAAAAACATTTAGAAGAAAGCCACAACAATTAATGTGTAAACAACATACTAAACAAATAAAAAAATATAATTACATTTTTTTTTTAAAAGTTACATATTCATTAACTAATCTGACAGCTTTTTTAAAAGAGGATGTCCATGTGGGTCACAACTCTAAGCACCCATTTTTCCCACAATACACACCGTATACAGAGATTTGAGAACATAATGCATTCATGAGTATTGTCCTTCACTCCTCTCTTGTGGCTACTATTCAGAGCAAGTCCAAGAATGAATGCGTAATAATAATAATAAAATAATAATAATAATAATAATAATAATGCAGAAATAACATAAAACAAGTTAAACTAAGAATTTATATTTCCTCTGTTCTAACAGTCTCTGTGGCCTGCCTAAAAGCAGCAAATTCATTACAAGAAAATCAAAAATAAATACATGAAAAAGTCATAATAATAAGAACTTCTTTGGGCAGCAAGTCAGATGCAGCAATAAGCAAAATGTACATATGAGGTCCCCTGGGAGCGCAGCAGCACCTGGATGCAGGTTATTTCTATAGTTACAAGTGAAGGCTTGCTCAGCAGTGCACTTCCACATCTTGTATATATGCATTTATCATTCAGTTTAACCATGCCTCTTCAGAAAAACAGGCGCTCTTTAATTCAAGTTCTCTGCACACATTTTCGCAGAGCTGAAGCTTCACTGTAAACAGAAACAGTCCCATGCTCTGTGTTACACCGCTGGCAGTGAAGAACAGGCAGCACTGAGATGCAGTTTGGTGGGAGGAGGAGGAGGAGGAGGAAAGGAGGGTGAGTCTCAGGCAAGGTGCCACCTACAGTTCAAGTATTTCTACAGGAAGCCAGGCACAACCAACAGCTTGCTGCTATGTATCAGCAAGAGGCGTTCCACACATGCTTTATTCTAATAACCAGCTAATAAATCAAAACACAGCAATCTTTTAAAAATACATACAGCTTCATACTGTGCAGTGGCAATATCTGTGAGGAAATGCACTTTTAAGTAAAGTTGCAAAGAATGGATTTTCCTTGTTGAAGCTTCTCCACTGTTCGAGCACCAGTGGCAAACAAAATTATCCACATTTTGATGAATTCAGAAGGTAAACCAGATATTTTAACCATGATTAAAGCCCTCTTGTTCAGTGCTTTTTCTCCAACAAACTTCCCTGGGTAGACAGTAGTTTCTTTTGGACCTCTGATTGAATCTCTATTACAGTCTGCTGTTGGTTCATATTTCTTTAAGTAGGGGATAGGGGCAAACTATGGCCCCTTAAGTTAGCTAGATTACAATCATTTCCCACTCAGAGATCGCTGCCTGTGTTTTTCTCTTGTAGTATGTCTGTCCCTTTAGACTGACAGAAAGTATCATCTTGTTCCTCATTCACAACACTATAACTCATTTATTACAAACCCTTCCTGAAGCCAAGTTGATTTGCGTGTTTCTTGACTAGATTTACATGTCAAGGTTTACTCTGATACTCAGCAGTTCCCCTTACACTGGTACTATATTATTATATCACAACAGATTGTTTCTGATAACAGCCTATGACACACAGATTAATTCCAGATGTCTAATGTCAGTGTGGTGAATACAAAATCTTCAGTCCTTTATTCTTGCAGCAGACGGCTACGCTTTAATTTCCTCAGACTTATTAGAGACTACAAATCTACTAAGTTTCCTAACAACTACAATGTCAGCTTGAAAGATATGTCAGTGACTGTGTTGAGGTGAGAGTGTAGCTAAAACCATGCACACTCAAGGCCACAGTCGTCCGAGCTAAATAGATCAAAAACAGAGCATTTAGCTTTCACCTGTTCTTTAACTGCATCAACCTGGAAGAGAAAAGGTGCAGCATGGAAGAATAAAATTAAAAATATTTTCCTGTAAAGAAATTTGGTAAACAGACAACCATCAGAAAGAATTCTGGGTATGTCTTTAATTTGATCCTGGTTAACTTAAAACAAAGGAAAACAGGATTTTAAATTGTCAACATGGCAGATTTTCTGATTATTTGCAGGTGAAGCCACCATGATATTCTCATTTTGTCTGTAAAACACACACACTGTACCTGGTTTATGGATAAAAAAGGACCAAAAAAAGGGAAAGAGGGAATAAAGGAAAAAAAAAAAAAAAAAAAAGAGTATGCCCCATATCAATTAACTTTGTAGTGTAAGTACTTGCTGTGACACGCAATCAAAACCAGACCTAATAACAGATCATTCAAATGATATATAGCATATAGCACCAGATTGCAACGTCTAAAAGACCTGGTTTAGATTACTTTCCAAGTATCTGTTACAGTGCTCACCTCACATAACCTACATGAATCTGTATAAAACTAAACCGTGT